ATTCTGTAGCATAAGATGCTCTAGGTTTATTTTGTTCTTTCCCAGCTCAGTTCAGCCCTTATCCTAGCTTTTCCAAATAACATGAATATACTTAGAAATCAGGATCTGTGCTCTTGATATGTTCATTGCTAATGGAATGTCATTGTTTCTAATCATCAGGTAGATCTAGAACATTACCTATAGATTCCTATATCGACCTAGTCATATTAAAAACCATAGTACATACTGATTCCTCCAACTGTAATCCAACCCCACAGAGTTCATTCCAGCCTCCCCTTTCCCACTCTGCAACTCCTCTCTCTGACAGTGTGAAGCCTAGCTGTCATCATCCACAGTATGTTTATAGTTGACTCTTGAACAACACAAGAGTTAGGCACACCTGTGCTTCACACTGTCAAAAATTTGCGTATAGCTTTTCACTCCTTGAAAAGTTAACTAATAGCCTACTGTTGACCAGAAGCTTTACTGATAACATAAACAATGGATTAACACATGTATTGTATGTTATATGTATCATGTACAGTGATTTAAATCATAAAATAAGCTAGACAAAAGAAAATGTTATTAAGAGAATCATAAGGAAGAGAAAATGCATTTACTATTCATTAAGTATAAGAGGATCATCAAAAAGGTCTTCATTCTGATCATCTTCAGGTTGAGTAAGCTGAGGAGGAGGAAGGAGAAGAAGAAGGGTTGGTCTTGACAGTGGCCATGACAGATCACTTAGTTTCTTTGAGCCTGTTTCTCGGGTGGTAGAAGCAGAAGAAAATCCACAAACAAGTGGATCTGCACAGTTCAGACCTGTGTTGTTCAAGGGTCAATTCTACAACTCTACTTATTTTCTCAATCAAGTAGTTTGCAATTTTAGGGTTGTCTGCTTTCTAGTTTTATAGTGAAGACATGGATTTTTATGTGATTTTATTTGTTCTTCTGTAATTGCATACATTTTTTGGAGTATGTTTTAGGAAATTTGGATTTATGTGACTCTCTAAATTACCACAGCTACCTCTGAAGTAAGAATAACTTTTTAATGCTTGAAAAAATACATACAATTACAAAGGAAACCTACTATATAAAAATACATCCAAAATATTTTAAATTGTGTTTTATTAACATGTTAAATAACAAGACGTGGTGACAGGCATGGTAACACCATAATAGCAAGCAAAAATCATATTTAGAGATAACTCCAACAGCTGCAATGTAACATAAACATATTTATGATTTCTATTGGTAACAATATCACAGGCACTACAAATACTGCTGTGGTTTGTTTACTTTCATAATTGAAGATGGTGCTTTCAGTTATAGTTTAAAAAAATAAAGATGGGATCTTTTCCTCATCCATATGAGCACACCCTCTTGAGGTTCTCTTGACCCCTGTGCCTGAGTAGTTTTCATAGTTGCCCAAATCATCCATCCATCTGAACTCAAGTCCCTTGTGGCTCATAATGCACTTTCACACTCAGGACCATGGCTTCCTCACGAGTGACTTCTTTTCCCCCAATCCCTCATCTACTTTCCTCCTTCTGGGAACTCATGTCAATAATCGTACTATAACAGAGGAGTTTATGAGGCGAGATGACCCTGTAGCAACAACTATTTCAATGTCAGATGTTGTTTTTAGCTGGTAGACTTTTATCTCAGCATCTTAGCACTCATGATGTGTTGACTCAGTCAACTCAACTTGGATGTCTGTTGCTCAGCCTAGGGTGCAATGTTCCTGTCCCCAGCACCACCTCCTCCCTCCACCACTGCCACCCTAGGATGCAATGTTCCTGTCCCCAGCACCACCTCCTCCCTCCACCACTGCCACCCCTGCCTCTCATTGTGGAAGGGCACAGCACTCCAGTCACAGTGGCCATGACAAATCACTTAATTTCTTTGAGCCTGTTTCTGAGGCAAATAATATGCCCTTTCTAACTTAAAAGCTGTTACGAAATCAAATGAGACCTATATGTAAAAGTTCATTGTTGAGTGCTTTACAAATGTAAGCCATTGTTTTACTTTACCCTCTACATGCTTGCCCCTGGAAAAACTGACAACACAAACAGCTTCCACTCTTTGCTCTAGGGAACATTAAACTCCATGTACATTTGTTTTCTTCCAATAATTCCCTTGGGATCTTGGATTGCAATGAAGGCTACAGAATGCATTCAGGGAATACATTTAGTTAGTCAACAATTATGTATTGAGGCCAGACTTGAAAAACACTGTATTAACTGAATTTATAAACATGAAATTTCCTCAAAACATTTAAATATGTAATTTTGCAAGAGTTAGTTATGCTACCACCCCTTAATTATACATTAATAATGTACTTATGTCTTTGAGAAGGGGACACACTGCCATATGGATGTTGATTTGCAACAGATCTTAACTCCTACACAGAAAAGAGTTGTAAAAACTGTACCAGATTATTCAACCACTTAAGCACGTTAGAAATAGAAGAATCAACTAGTTTCCCCAAACCTAACATATTTTGATATTTTCCTGACTTAATTTTTATCTATTGTCAATTGTTTTATCCTTTTTTTTTTTTTTTTTTTGAGTTGGAGTCTCACTCTGTCGCCCAGACTAGAGTGCAGTGGCCACTCCTGGCCACCGCAGGCTCGACCTGCTGGGCTCCAGCGATCCTTCCACCTCAGCCTTCCAAGTAGCTAGAACTACAGGCGTGCGCTACCACACCCAGCTCTTTTTTTTTTTTTTTTAATTGTAGAGATGAGGTTTCACCAAGTCGCCCAAGTGGGTCTTGAACCCACAGGCTCAGGCAATCGACTCACCTCAGCCTCCCAAGGCTCGGGATTACTGACTGAGCCACTGAGCCCGGCTCTTTTTGTCTTTAGCTATGGATCTTTTGGAGAAAAAAGATAACAGCAGAATCCAAAATTTTCTTGAGAAGTGAAGGAAACATTGAGTTTTTTAAAAATCTGAAATAGTCTGTTCCTTATAAAGCAGTAGAAATAAAGGGTTGTGTGTGTGTGTGTGTGTGTGTGTGTGTGTGTGTGTGTGTGATAAAATTCTATGTGTATGTTTATATTTCAAAGTAGAGAAATATTTACATTTACAGGAAAAATCACCCAAATTTTACCTGTATGAAGACCACTTGTATACCTATTCCTGAATTGTACCCCACATCTTTAAGATAAACTAAAAATTTTTAAAAATCAAAAATATAAAAAAATTGGAAAAATGTACTGAGTCAAATGTAATAATAATTATTAACTTAAAAAATGTGTTCTGTATTTTGTTTTTACCTTGAGAATATGTTACCTTTGCAAACAAAAATGAATATACAAATAATTTTTGAAAAGTCTTCAAAGGATAAAAAACAAGAAATAATTTTAAGAGAATAAAGTTCAAGCCGGGCTCGGTGGCTCAGCCTGTAATCCCGTGCCTTTGGGAGGCTGAAATGAGTGGATTGCCTGAGCCTGCGGGTTCGAGACCCACCTGGGCA